TTCAATGGCAATTCAGATTGGACGCCATATTTCAATTTGGTCAATAGGTCTTAAATTTTTTTCAGGCCTCATTTTCACTACTGCTTAAGTAGTGTTGGTTACTGCAGGGATTGCTCTCATCTCGTTATTTAACCGCAGTGCAAATATATGACTTTCATATGTTCACAAACTTTGACTCATCACTTCACGAGTTTATTACAAACCAACATAATGACCAGCTCCCAGTTGGCTTGTTAGCTCAGTTGGTAGAGCACTGCACTGGTATCGCAGAGGTCATGGGTTCAAATCCTGTACAAGCCTGAAATTTTTTTCAGGCCTCATTTTCTCTACTGCTTAAGTAGTGCTCTTTACAGTGAAGATTGCTCTCATCTCAAAATGTTCCCTATCAAGATCAAGGCACCTGTCCATAGTAAGAAGCATTTTAAATGGTAGAAAATTTGTTTGCACCTGTAAGTTGACACTTCTAGTTATAAAACAAGAAGGATCATAAACACTCAGAAATAGTTTTCTTAGAAGTGACATGTGTATCCCCTGATTAGACATAATAAGTTGATATTTGTACTCTGTCTAGACATCAAAGGCTGGACCTAAACTGGAAAGCTGTGTGTTAGCTGCCAATGTTTATATCGTTTTGGTTCAAATACCAGGTGAGAAAAAAAAAGTATTAATTATTCCAAGTGGAATGGGTGCTGTTTTTTAAAATGGCTAAATGCCTTGTCACTGATGAATTAGTGATGGCTAAATGCCTTGTCACTAATGAATCACTGATGGCTAAATGCCTTGTCACTGCCGATCTGTTTTCTCTCATCCTGTTATCTTGAAGGAGCAATGATTGTGAATCTGGGAGGGGGGAGGTAAATAAATTTAAAAAAAAAATTGCATTTGTAAGAGGGCTCACTATTTACGTGTCATGTCTATCATCATTGTGGCACAGGTTTGATAGTTTTAACCTTGTATGTCCTAGGAATGATTAACATGTAACTTCTCCCTATAATATCCATACATTATCCAACAAACAGGTAATGAGAATACTCAAACTTATTAGATAGAAGTTGTCCTCTTGATATAACACCAAATTCTTGTAAGTAATTTACCAGGAAATGTGTAGGAGCAAGAAAGGAGAATTAACAATCAGATCTTAGGAAGTAAAGGGTTAAGTTGTGACAACAAGGTGGAGATACAGGGTCTATCAGATAGTGTGCTGAGGTAAGGAGTTCCTGGCATGATGAGCAAATCAAACTCAAAGTTGTTTTTATTTTCATTACAGAGTAAAATTTAGGTCATTGAATTTTGACAATAAGTTTGAAAGAGGTAGCATTATTTTTTCCAGGGAGTGGAGCATACAAAGTTTTCCATCCTTTATTATTCCAGAAAGCTTTGGATGTGTTGCGTCTCTGGCCTCAGAGAGGTAAAGAATTGTTTTGTTGAAGGATTGAGTTTTATCATTGAATAAAGAAAGTCGATACTAAGATTTGTTTTTTTTATAAGCATGGACAACCACTAAAAATCTGTTTTCTGCCCATGAAAAATTAAACACCAGACCTTTACATACATACATACATACATACATACATACACACACACACGCACACACACACACACACACACACATATATAG